AACTGGCCGCAGCACTCCAGGAAGAGTGGAGAGCAATCCCCAGGACAACATCCGCCGTCTGATTCGTTCTGTTCCGAGGAGGTGCACTGCTGTGATTAGAGCTCGTGGCTCTACAACGAGATACTGAAGACAACGCCCCTAGCGTAAATTGAGAGTTCGATACTGACCTGCATTAACTGTTACCTTATACCGTGCTGACCTAAGGTTCACCATGTCAAATTTCATGGCATTATCTTTAAAAATACAAATGTTATAACCAGTTAAAATTGATATAAACATTACAAAAAAACCAGGGGTTGCGTTTCTTTTTGAGAGAGTGTAATTATATAGTGTATAACAAATTAGACAGCAAAAGCAAAAGCAAAAAGAAAACGCATGAGCAACATAATGCTGTCAGGTAGTAAGCTTTCAATAATTATCGAAACTGCTTAGTTATGAGCTAATTGCAATCACTACAATTTTCTATAGTCTACCCAAGAGGGAACAAAATAGGTCTATTATGAAAATTATGAGCTAATTGCAATCACTACAATTTTCTACAGTCTACCCAAGAAATGGAAACAAATTATGTCTACAGTATATTTGAGAAAACGTCCGTATGGGATAATACCTGTATCCCGAATCAAAAAAAGGTCATACCAAATATGTGCATGTTCACACATTTACAACAGTAATTTACACTGGGAATCATTAATACATTGTAATCATCTTTTATGAAAGTATAGATAATGAAATTTGTTCAGTTATAACTCATCAGTCGGATAACTCATACAAGTAAGCACTAAAATTAGGGACCTACCGGTTCATGTCTGTGTGAACACATCTGTTTGTGTTTTATTGTAATTAGCAGTGTCTCCTTGTGTAGCATATATAAGAAGTGTACCTAAGGTCAGTTGCTTAAACTGTTATGTAATTTCCATTACAAAAAGTTTAAACGATATTACCTACTGGTCAGAAAGACTTATCAGTACCCCAACACCTACCCACCGTCACCACCCCACCCTAGGCCTATCCCATGCCACACCCTCTCACTCGCAAACATACACACTCCCTAACATACATATCGCTCTGGCCCATAGACCCGATATTTGAACCTTTTAAACAGACACCATGTGTATGTCAAGAAAGACACGCATGTTATTAGTGGTGCTCACTTCACCATGTGTTTCTAATTATCTCAGTACATTATGGCGTGGTCGGACGCGCTAACGAACCTTGTGTGAGAGTTAAATTACAGAACCATTGAAATACATGTTAAAGTAATTGTAATCTTGTAACACTATATTTACCCATTTTCAACCATTTACACATGTACTAAAATATATGACAAAACTAATCCTGGTCATACGAGATTTCAAAGGTATTGAAATGCATGTCCTACAATCACAGCATTTACATATGTTACACATGTGAGGAAACACATGAAAACAATGGCCAGATTTACATACCTGTGAAATACATGTAAATGCAGAGTTGAATGTTCGTTCATTTTAACCCCCCTTTAAACGTGTGTAAATCTGACGGCCAGATGATACGTAGATTTCAAACGTTGTTCATATGGCGGCCGGATGAAACGAGTATTTCCTGACGTTAGTAAATTTGGGTAATACAGTCATTTTGTGTGGTGACATAGACCCGGAATTGCTTTCAAACATTCATCTGATCTTTTACTTCCATATCTTGAGCTTACTTTCAATATTATCCTCGACACTGGGAACTTTCCTGAATCTTGGTCAGTTGGCATTCTTGTTCCAGTCTATAAACAGGGTGACCCTAAAGATACCAATAACTACCGTGGAATAACTGTACTTAGTATATTTGGCAAGTAATTTACTTACATTATCAACAAAAGATTAGTTAAATGGACTGACGTCATGGATCAGATATACGAGGGTCAAGCGGGCTTTAGGGAGGGATATACAACAACAGATAATATCTTTATACTGTATAGCCTAATACAAAGATACCTCAGCTCAAAAGATGGAAAGTTCTACGCACTATTCGTTGATTTTGCAAAGGCTTTCGATTCTGTGCAGCGGATAAACTATGGAGACTTCTACAATCGCACGGTCTTAGTAGTAAAATGAATAAAATGTTGAAGAGTATATACGAAAAATGTTAAAGTGTGTGTAAGGAATCAGCATGAATTATCTGAACCTTTCATTAGTGAACTAGGTGTTAGACAAGGCTGTATTTTAAGCCCCACCTTTTACGTTTTTCATTAATGAATTAGCAATACAAATATGTGACAAATGTACGAATGGGATTCAACTACACCCAAATACAATACAACTATTTCTGCTACTCTTTGCCGATGATATTGTACTATTCTTCTAGTACTGTTAGCGGTTTACAGAAACAAATAGATGAATTAGACACATTTTCTGACCAATATAAGTTATGTGTAAACAGAGACAAAACCAAAATTATCGTCTTTAAGAAAGGTGGAAAGCTCTCTAAATTAGAAAAAATGGTATTATAAAGGGCAACTACTCAAAACTACCAGTGTTTATAAGTATCTTGGTGTATATTTTGTAATAGCTCTTTCCTGGTCCAAACACACAAAACAAGCGTCAGCACAAGCCTTGAAAATCTTAATCGGTGTTTGTAAAAATATGAGATCGTTGGGTGAAATGTCCTTTAACACATTCTTTAAAATATTCGATATGAAGATAAGTCCAATACTTCTATATGGCTCTGAAATATGGGGATTACAACAATATGACAGTATTGAAAGAGTTCATTTATATGCATGCAAAAGTTTCTTGGTGTAAAACCGAACACATGCAATAGGATGGTTTACGGAGAATTAGGTAAATTCCCTTGTTTATATACTCTTCCATTAAAGCCATAAAGTATTGGGTAAGATTACTGCATATGCCATGCCATAGGTTTCCGAAAAAATGTTATGATATGATGAAATTGTATGACGAAAATGGGAAAAGAAATTGGGTGAGTGATATTAGGAGTTGTTGTACAAAACTGGTTATGTTTATACTATAATCAATGGAAATCGGACATACGTTTCGAAGACTTTTAGCAAAAAATCGGCGTACAAAAGTCCCGCATAGCTCTCTCTCGTTTTCGTTGCTCTTCCCATGACTTATTTATTGAAACTGGCAGGTATGCAGGTATACAAAGAGAAAACAGAATATGTCAGTTATGTAATATGAGTACTGTTGAGGATGAACTACATTTCCTTCTAATCTGTCCTGTTTATACGACTCTACGAACGAACTACTTTAAAGCCATACTATTATAAGCATCCAAGTGTAAGAACATTAATTTCACTATTAACAGATACTACCACATCAATATTACAGAATCTGGCAATGTACATCTATTTCGCTATTAGATTAAGAAAAAGTATTGTTGCAGAAAAGAATTTATAAATGACTTCTATCTACTCATGTAAACTCTAAATGTACTACAGGCCTGTGGCCTTTTTAAGTACTGAAAAAAAGATTGATTGATTGATTGATATATTTTAACGTCTTTTGGTATGACGCGGTCGGGGATCGAACCCGCGACCTTCCCCAACCCGTGGAGATCCCAACCCGTGGAGATCCGGGTTAGAATTGGTCTTCATAAACCCATGTGTGTCCCCGTAAAGATCCGAGCTGGAATTGGTCTTCAGAAAACCCATGCTTGTCGCAAAAGGCGACTAACGGGATCGGCTGGTCAGGCTCGCTGAACTGGTTGACACATGTAATCGTATCCCAATTGCGTTGATCCATGCTCATGCTGTTGATCACTAGATTGTGTGTCCCAGACTCGATTACTTACGGACCGCGGTCATATAGCTGGAATATTGCTGGAGTGCAGCGTTAAACAACAACCAAACCAAACCTTAGCCCAACATGAACGATGTTGACGGGCCAGTGACGTGTCACGAAATGCTCGAAATGGTATTCCGCTTTCAGACCTTACCCTTGACAAAGGGTATACTCTTGGTAATTGTTATTTTAGATCGTGAAAATCTCACACTTCATAACACTGTATGTGCAAATGACACCGGGTAATGCAGAGTGAGTATGTTTTACCATTTAAAATAACCTTTACCCTGTACAACCATAACACATGTGATCAAATTTCATCCTCAGCATCTCCCCGAGTTAGGTGAACTAGAAACAACCACAACACATGTGATCATATTTCATCCTCAGCATCTCCCGAGTTAGGTGAACTAGAAACAACCACAACACATGTGATCATATTTCATCCTCAGCATCTCCCCGAGTTAGGTGATCATATTTCATCCTCAGCACGAGTTGGTCAACTGGAAACAACCACAACACATGTGATCATATTTCATCCTCAGCATCTCCCCGAGTTAGGTGAACTGGAAACAACCATAACACATGTGATCATATTTCATCCTCAGCATCTCCCCGAGTTAGGTGAACTGGAAACAACCACAACACATGTGATCATATTTCATCCTCAGCATCTCCCCGAGTTAGGTCAACTGGAAACAACCATAATATGAACTTACATGATAAAAATAAAAATATATTTTCTGCGTCTCTGATGTGTTCCGAAGGTATGCAATGCTACTATGTACACAATCTCCACTATAACAGTGTATTTTAACAAGTTAATGTTTATCAATATGTTATTGTTCACGTGAAGCACAATAAACGTACATAAAATTATAACAAAATTTGGACTGTTTCAGACTGATCACGAGGCATGAGGGGAGGTGGGGTAGCCTAATGGTTAAAGCGTTCGCTCGTCACGCCGAAGCCCCGGGTTCGATTCACCACATGGGCACAATGTGTGAAGCCCATTTCTGGTGTCCCCCGCCGTGTTATTGCTGGAATATTGCTAAAAAGCGGCGTAAAACTAAACTCACTCACTCACTGACTCACGAGGCATGAACCTATGACACCCCACCCCGCCTCCCGTGTAGAATCCACCTATTCTCCTAGAGGAACCTGTCGCTAACCGTATAATATTATGTGGGCCAACTGTATTGAATGTTTTTTCATCATACACCACAGGAATACACTCTTAAAGGGACTGTTCGAGATGAATCTGTGGCACGCCTTCTTTCAGAGCCTTCGTCTGGCATTTCTCCATGAGAGACAAGAACAAGCAGTAAATTTCCTGGACACCTGAACATCTTCGAATATTTGTTCAGAGACTGCGAAATCACTGGTAAGTCTGCAATGTAATGTCATGATGAAAGGCAACCGAGCGTTAAGATAAAAGGGGGTGACTGGTGTATTTTTTTTCCAAAGCAGCAAGCAATCTTCTTGTTAATATTCACGTCTATGAGGTACAAATTAACAATTGCAGAGATCTATGAGGGACAAATTTAAATACAAAGCAAGTTTCTGGTGGCACCCGTCAAAAGAGTGAGGAGTGAGTATTGTTTTACGCCGATTTTAGCAATATTCCAGCAAAATCACGGCGGGGGGCACCAGAAATGGGCTTCACACATTATACCCGTATGGGGAATTGAAGCCGGGTCTTCAGCGTGACAAGCCAACGCTTTCACCACTAGGCTACACCACTAGTGCGCAAAGAACTGTCTGCAGTACACACTAAAAGGACTGATTGACTGACTGAATTTGGTTTTACGCCGCTTTTAGCAATATTCCAGCAACATCACGGCGGGGCACCACAAATGGGCTTCACACATTATACCCGCATGGGGAATCGAAGCCGGGTCTTCAGCGTGACGAGCCAACGCTTTAACCACAAGGCTACTGGGTCGACCCACCCGTCAAAACAACATGCAAAGCCAAGGTCAATGTTCATAAGAATAGCAGCACATAGTTTGTTCGCTTGAACGTTATATTAATTACTCAGCTTGAAATGAGTACCCGGTGGGATAAAGTCATGTGACTATAACCCTCTAGCGCCTAACAGGCAACTTGAGTTATCCGGGGTAATAATAATCAGATTGTTTGGGCGCTTCGAGCATGCATTGTGCATGGAGCAATGCGCATGATAAATGGACTATTATTATTATTATTATAATTAATGACCTATCAGTCTGGTCAAACATATAATTAACCTCCACTATGTTGCAGAGTATGCATCATGCATTCTCTCCCCTGATCCTTCTGCCAAGATTATCCTGTCGGGGAGGGTGGACTTCAAGGAGGTGAATGTGAGTGGAACTGCTTCATAACGTCCTTTCATCAACAACGTATTACATCACACCCTTTGCCATCCCCTGTATATACATTACACGAGAACATTAGACAAATTCTCATTACCAATATCTTACATCAGACCCTTTCGTCACTAGTATAATACATCATTCATCATCAACTTATATATTACATCAAATCCTTTCTCATCACCTGTACATTATGTAAGATTCTTTAACACCACTTGTATATTACATTAAATCCTTTATTATCAAACGTATTGTATTTTATCACTCACTCGATGAAAATATCACTGTTTAATAAATCTACAATGTTAGTACACATTGTGTATTAACATCGCGTGCTGCCGGAACTATTTGCACTTGATCACATGACTGAGTATACGCGTGACCCAGTTGTTTCGTCACTAGTATTATGCATTCTTTATCATCAACTTATATATTACATCAAATCCTTTCTCATCACCTTTACATTTTGTAACATTCTTTAACACCACTTGTATATTACATTAAATCCTTTATTATCAAATGTATATTGTATTTTATCACTCACTCGATGAAAATATCACTGTTTAATAAATCTACAATGTTAGTACACATTGTGTCATAACATCGCGTGCTGCCGGAACTATTTGCACTTGGTCACATCACCGAGTATACGCGTGACCCAGTTGTTTCTGTCACTAGTATTATACATTCTTTATCATCAACTTATATATTACATCAAATCCTTTCTCATCACCTTTACATTTTGTAACATTCTTTAACACCACTTGTATATTACATTAAATCCTTTATTATCAAATGTATATTGTATTTTATCACTCACTCGATGAAAATATCACTGTTTAATAAATCTACAATGTTATTACACATTGTGTAATAACATCGCCTGCCACCGGAACTATTTGCACTCGGTCACATGACCGAGTATACGCGTGACCGAGTTGTGCGGGCGTAATGCACTCGTTGAATTCTTAGGAAAGAAGTTTCACCTGTTTTTTGCTCGGTTACCATTAATAGCATTTATATAAAAGAAAATAATATATGTTGATTAAATTTATGTGGTCCCTTTTCGTATCCCTTGTTTATTTAAAAATCAAATTATTTAGATTAATGTTGACAATCATAAATGAAATTTATTCATACTCTGACCCCTGTTATGACGGTGTAATGCACTCGTTCTGTAAGTTGAATTCTGAGATATTATTTAGCTTTCGCTCGTCAGATACCAAATCATTCTTTTGTCTCATAAATATGGTATTACACGGACATCGTAAAAGTATCACCTATATATCCTTTATTCATCATTTTGTAATATTCATCACATGTGCTTTTATTACTACTTTATCATCACTATACATTTTAGAGGATATAATCATGTATTATCATTTAAATATTTTAATTATTTTTCATGACATACATATTTCATACCATTCTTTACCATCAGTTGTATTTTTCATTACTTCTGTTATCGTCACCTTTCATCATGGTATTAACGATCAACCAATACCATAACCTGAATTTCAGTAATTGACCATGGCACTGTCAATGTATTAACTATCATACCTTCTGAATGTGTTTTGTGAATAGCAATCTCATTGAATTGTCAATCCTTACATAGATAATGCCTAAATGTTCAATATTTTGATAATCAAAGCTTGAATAACCGACTTTGAAGAGTCAGTCCTTACGATTCACTCCAAAGTAGTCAATCCATCATAGGACAGTTTTACTGCGGCTGAAAACTCCATTCAGCCAATCAGATGACTATTCTGTTGTAAATTAAATTTTCCTAAACTCCATTGCCAATCAAGCATCCTATTATATCATTAATTTGGCTTTTAGACGTAAGCTTGGTGGTCTCTTGTGTATATCCACAGGCATGTGGCAGAAGAATGCCAATAGAAATCAAGGTTGACATAGACGGCTTTCCGGCAACCGATAACGTCACCAAACACGGCTTCCACGTCCACACCTACGGCGACTTGGCTAATGGCTGTGGTGGTGCCGGTGGATACTACAACCCATTCAACGTCACCCACGGAGCACCGGAAGACCGTACGAGGTGACGTTGACATACACTGGACTCGACTTTCTACAGACCGCTGCCATATAGCTGGAATGTAGCTTTGGTTTGTTCTTTTACGCCGCACTCAGCAATATTCAAGCTCTTACGACAAGCATGGGTTACTGAAGACCAATTCTAACCCGGATCTTCGCGGGTCTGGAATATAGCTAACTGCAGCGATTGATTGGTTAGGCTCGTTGACTGGATGGCACATGTCATCACTGTGAGACCCGTGATGAGCTAGAATTGGTCTTCAGCAACCCATGCTTGTCATAAGAGGCGACTAACGGGATCGGGTGGTTAGGCTCGCTGACTTGTCGACAAGTGTCATCGTATCCCAATTAAGGAGATCGATGCTCATAATATTGATCGGAGGATTTGGTCCAGACTCGATTACGGACTGCCTCCATACAGCTGTAATATTGCTGAGTGCAAACAAACGAAATGAGTGCGGCGTTTAACAACAATCAAACGATGTTGACATCTTCGAGTGAAAACATGAGTCATCTTGATATTGAAGGAAAGTGACACAGGTCGTAGACATTGAAATTTTAGAAGTTATACTTACTAACCATCGATTACAATCGACGTAAAACAAGGATTCAAACTAACGATAACCGGATCATAGCGCACAACGGTTGGCAATTCCACGTTCGAGATTCTCTAAGATTCATTGCAAATATCTATCCAACATGCAGCTGCTCTCTTCATCTTTCTTGAGACAAACACAAACATAAATTCATCATTTCTTCAGGATGTTGAGCGTTTAATTTCGGTTTATACGTCAACACAATGCTTGTGAGGTAGTAGTTAATGAAACATCTGAACCAACATCAGTCAAAACCATGCACAATCAGTTAATAAATTTCTCTGCGATAATCTTTGGCTTAACTGTAATGAATTCTTCGAAATCACAAATCTTCTGTAACAGCAGCAAAATAATATGTTCATCTTGGTCCAGGAGAGCCTAACATCCAAACATTTAAATGCGATTAATAGTGATAACAATTCTATATCACCTGTGCAGTAACATGAAACTATCAGCCTATAGTCTATATGTTATTAATTACATATCTGACTTTGGTTTCTAAAATGAATTTGCTATACAAATAGGAATATAATTAACAATTGTAATTCCTGAACTATGATTCTAGTGTAATAAAAAACATCTGGGAAAATGTGTTAACTTTATTCTGGGTATAATTAAGCTAGAAATATACGCGAAATGCATGTATGCTTTATGGTCTTTTCATCACGTGACCACTATAGAATAGAGGGCAATAACGTTTATTATTTCACATATTATACAGACGGCATTACACTGCCATCAAGTGTTACCAGCATATTGACATTCGTTGTGTTTTGTTGTATTGATACAATGTATTATATTGTATCAGTACAAATAAAGGCGATGTACAAGCCAGAAACCCATTTCCATAGTTATGCATAAGTAGCTGTCGTGTTTATGAATCATATACAAACACACGCAAAGTCAAGTCAAGCGTTCAGCGGAACAAACTCGGGGACATATGGTACAAGTCTCCATTTGAACTTTGTAAACATTGTACTAAGGCTAAATTGTAACCCTGAACAAACAACTTTCAAATGATACACTTCAGAGGAAACAACCGACATTTGTTTGCACCAAGCGTCACCAAAGTCATTCCCAATACGTTGTGTTATTGGCATCCCAGCTTGTATGTCCAACTTATATCAGAAAAGAAATACTTAAAGGAATAGTTCTATCACAAACCAAATCGTAAGTAATGTTGAACATTAATGACATTAGATTCTAACGATACCTTTAGACATTTATCTACATATGTACACATTACATGGAATCGATTTAAGAAATGTAACAATGTAATGAATTTGTAACGCTCCAGATCATGAACCATTGGTCTTTGCCTCATGAATATCTGAGTTTCATACATTAAGAATGTTGACTGGCATTGTTTAACAGAAATTACGCTTCCATGTAACATCTGAAAAATCCGTAAGACTCCATGTTTACATATTGGTGTTAAGCTGTCATTGCCTATACTCAACATCTGCCGGCTGATTAGTATGTATTATAGTGTTACCTCACGTTATAGACAAACTTACCTGCAACTTATGTAATATCTCATGGCATTGTCTTTGTCTTGGTTCAGACATATTGGAGACTTCGGCAACGTTGACGTTCCCAAAGACGGCCGCCTGACGACTTCGTTAACTGACCGCCTTGCAAGCCTTAAAGGCGACCAGAGCATCATGGGAAGGGCTATTGTGGTATGCATACCAGATTGCATGATTGTAAAATGAATGGGAATGTGAGATCTTGTACTTTTGTACTGGTTGAAATACAAATTTGTGTGATTTGTGCGGATGTTTGTGTGTGTGAATAGTTTTTCGATAAGTGTTTTCTATTTTCTAAATTCAAAGATTCAGACTTATTTGTAACAAAATGGGTTTATTTGTCACAGAAGTCATAATCCATTCTACAACGGCATCATAGAACCCTGCATTCTGAGTAACTGACGGGCGGTACGGTAGCCTAGTGGTTAAGGCGTTCGTTCGTCACGCCGAGAAGACCCAGGTTCGATTCCCCACATGGGTACAATGTGTGAAGCCAATGACTGGTGTGTCCCTCCGTGATATTTCTGGAATATTGCTGAATGATGCGTAAAACCCAACTCACTCTCTCACTGCAAATAAATGACGGCGGTCTGAAAATAATGGAGTCTGGACCAATCACATCAATCTATCTAAACGTATGTCTGTGTTATTGAATCAGTTTATTTCAAAATAGAATTTTACCGTTATTGTCTCAGGTTCATGAAGGATTGGATGATCTTGGCAGGGGAAACAACTCTGCCAGTCTTGAGAACGGCAATGCTGGTGCCAGACTGGCCTGCTGTGTGATCTACGCAGCTGACGGCTCTCAGTGGAAGGAGACATAAAGAGATTGTAGTGCTGGTTTGAGGGTTGTAAAATCGGTTTATTAATGAACAAGACTGCAGGAATGAAGAGAAACAAATAAATGATAAAAGTAAGAGTTTTTGATGTCGTCATATTTGGGGAAAAATCAAATGTTTATATACCTACTCAGTCGGAATGATAGACACTCGGGTTTTTTTTCCAGCAAGTAAAGATGTGTTCTGTAGACCTCCTTATTAAAAATCCCAACATCCTGTCTTTTTTGCATTTGAGTCAAGGCAAGAGAAAAATATCTCACAAATATAACACAAACATTACGACGAGCATACCGCTTGTCTACGAATATATATTTTCTATCTTATATTAGATGGCCGTGGGATAGCCAAGTGGTTAAAGCTTTCGTTAGCTACGTTGAAGATCTGGGTTCGATTCCCCCATGGGTACCACATGTAAAACCCATTCTGGTATGCCCACCGAATATCTGTGGTATTACTGGACTGTTGCTAAAGGTGACATAAACCTATACACATTCAATTACTGTTATTGGAAGTAGGGTCATCTCAACCTGCCGTCGATTGGCTTTAGAGTGAGTATATTTTCTTCAACCCTTCAACCCTCATAAGTGAGTGAGTTTAGTTTTACGCCGCTTTTAGCAATATTCCAGCAATATCACGGCGGGGGGCACTAGAAATGGGCTTCACACATTGTATCCATGTGGAGAATCGAACCCGGGTCTTCGGCGTGAAGAGCAAACGCTTTAACCATTAGGCTACCCCTCCGCCCCTGTAAACCTCATACACAGGCAAATTGTAGCGCACTTAGGGTTGCGCATAATAAGAAGAGAAATGACCAGTCTTTCCATATGCGAGCGAAGCGAGCAAAGAAGTTAACAACGTGCTTCCCTCGCTTCGGTTCGCAAAATATTTTAATATCAAAATAGAATATCGCCATCATCAAAGGTGGACACTCATTTCACAGAGTTGTGTTCTCAAATTTCCAACCTCATATTTGATAATTACTCACGTACAGTATATTTAATTCAACAATTTAAGGGCAAATTGTGGCATGTCAAATCGTTCTTCGCCTCCATTACCCCTGCCAGCTTCCGGTTCAAGAAGGAACAGGGGACTTAAATTTAAATCTGCCCGTTACGCCAGAAGTGTTTTTGTAGAATGAATGTTACGAAAATTCTAACAATAAGGACGGCAGTAAGAAAAATAATCCCCAACAGTTTAACGGTAAAATTATGCCATATGATTTTTGTGTTTAATTACTGCTTATTCTTGTTCCTTCACCCGTTGAACCGGAAGCTGGCAGGGGTAATGAAGAAATTTGACATGACATTGTTGAATTAAATATATTGTATGTGAGTACAACTTAACGACTTTTCAACATGGAACACGTTACCCTAATTGTTGAAAGATTGCATCTATTCTCAGCTTCAATCTTGTCTGTGGCTGTGTCATCGGGATTGCCAATAAGTTGCAGTCAAGTGAGTGAATGAGATTTTTTGTAATTGCAAATAGAAAGAAGCGCAAGTACAAATATTTTTTGTTCGTTTTCACGACTTGAATTCTCATTTCTCCGTCGTCCCTCTGTCTCCCTTGCTGACACATGAGAGGGATCCGAACTCTGGTACGAAGCTCTTACCACTAGGCCACTCCACCCCCTAGAGAAGAAGAAGAGTGAGTCAGTGAGTTTAGTTTTACGCCGCACTCAGCAATATTCCAGCTGTATGGCGGCGGTCTGTACATAATCGAGTCTGGACCATACAATCCAGTGATCAACAGCATGAGCATCATACTGCGCAAGTGGGATACGATGACATGTGTCAACCAAGTCAGCGAGTCTGACCACCCGATCAGAGAAGAAGAAGAAGGGGAGGAAGATATTGAAAGAGAGGGATAGAGTATTTATACGACTGTATTTTCACTATAAAACCTTTAATCACACAATTTTCGTGAACCACAGTCGAACTGGATAATCTCAAACTGTGTCGAACTCGCAAAGTTTTATTTACCACAGTTGTAATCCGGTTGTGTCGAAAGAATTTGTCTGTTTTATGGTTGCCCTGAATCCCCACTCTCCATGTCAAGCACCAAATCGCCATCACACAAAGTCAGCCATCTAACCCACTCAGCCGTCACGACTTCAACAATCTGGATTTTCCAGATGTGAGTTAGCGTATTAACATTTTCTACTCATAGCTCGGCTTTATTTGTTTGGACCTCCATATATAATATTTTTTACTTCTAGTACTTCATGAAAATACCATGGCATTGATTGTTTTACATTCAATATCTGAGAAACTGCTAACAATCAGACAGAGTGGCACCAACTGGATGTTTCGTCACCCTGGCATCCTGAAAATAGCTACTTTGGCGACGTAACAAACATATTGATTGAAGAACCGCAGTGATTTGGTGCAGAAATATATAAGCCTACTTCACTGAAGATGGGAGAGCAGGATTAGATTTGTAATTGTTTATGTTTGAAGAAAGCAAACCGCAAATCATGGCATTTATGATTCCGAATCGAATAAAACTGAAAGAGATTTCAAGTCTGTCTCCTAAATATAGATTAACACTAATAGACGGAGACAATAAACAGTCCCCAGTTGCCATGACATGGACACCACAGACAAAAATACAACGAACCAGTTCTAAGTGGAGAGCCAAATAGTTCTCAAGTTATTGGGCCACATCAATGTCGAAATTCTTTGGGAACACTTGTGTAAGGTGACTTAGGCAGTTACTCCGTTTACTTGCATTTTGTTGTTTTAACGCCGCAATCAACAATGTTCCAGCTATATGACGGCGGTCTGTAAATAACCGAGTCTGTACCAGACATTGCAGTTATTGACATCATAAGCATCTCTCTACGAGGTTGGGATACGATGACAAGCATCATCCAATTCACGAGCCTGACCGATCCCGTTAGTCGCCTCTTACGACTATGCAATAGTTTGTTTATGAATCACTATCAAATAGCAATAACACCAGGTGTTTGTACAAGGATGAGTATGGACATACCCCACCTGAAGCCGGTTTATTCCTGGTTTGCCACCCCACTTAAGGAGATTAAAACTAATCGTATTTTGACAAGTAGAGGATGCATGCCATCACGTGAACTCTAATTAAAGGTGCCGCCCAAGCTAATAGGGGTGCGCTAAGCTATGTTCAGGGTGTATGGTGAAATGAACACTTTTGAATGCACTGAAGGTTGGACAGTCACAACCCAACATATTCCACTTCAATGACATCCTGAATCAAGAACAGTGCCACACAGAGATTGTCATATTTTTTAATATAAACATATTTTATTCATGAAATATAAACATAACGTGAATATGGATTAGCACAACAAGCCAACGGCTTATGTAAGTGCCGCTCCATTAAATATAACACAATACAATCAATAATTAATTTCAAACAAAGTACAGAAGCTATTATTTCCACAAAGGCATGAAATGCACAATAATAGGAAAAGTTTACAAAATTACATTAAATGGTTCATAGTAATTGCATACATAAGAGTTTAGAATAATTGGAATCTATTTGAAAGTAGTATGTATTTATGAACAGAGTCAAGAATAAGCTGATTAATTCTGGCAGAAAACTCCAATTGAGTATGCCGATGCCGTGTCTGGTTGAACTTTTTAGTCTGGTATATGTTTGTTACTGAGTGCTCTGTGTATAACAATAATTTCACATGTTATAAGTAAGTTAAAAGCATCATGTGAAAATATGTTATATTGAAAGTATATTCAGTCATGGTATGTTAAGTCATGGTTGATGTGTATAAAAATATACGTTTAAAAATAAATGTTGAGATGACCCCCACCTAATCCTATTGTTCTACCAATTACCACACCTGACTGTACAACCTAATTTAAACAACAGGAGGTGGCAAATCAGGAAGACCCCCATGAAGCCCCCCAGAGAATTTGCATAAAAGTAATGGGTTACTTGTTTTCCATATAAGTCAATCACTAGACTCTATTTGTCCAGACCCGATGATATGACCTGCGTTCGATTCCCCACATGGGTACAATGTGTGAAGCCCATTTCTGATGTCCCCTGCTGTGATATTGCTGGAATATTGCTAAAAGCGGAGTAAAACTCACTAACACCAGATCCGATGTGCACAGACGGACGCCATGTAGCTGGAATATTGTTGACTACAGCTTTAAAAAACCGCCCAGAAAAAATGTTACTTTTAACTTATATAAAATCAAGGTTTTTAACTCATAGAGTCCAACGGGAAGGCATTTTGCACAAAACAAACTCAGTCTCCATATTATCACGAATATGTTCAGTCATCGTTCAACACCAAACCGGTAGGGATTCCAAGTAAGAATGTAAAACCCCATATATTCTTGTCGGAAGAGGCGAAGAAATGGATCGGTAATCCATGAATCTCTTGGATGAGAGCACATCATCGTATCCCGGTTTTATGGATCGATGGGCAGGATTGGATTGTCTGGACAAGATTCGTTTTTTTACTGTATTGCTGAGCGCGGCGTTTAAAAACAAACAACGTTCTATCCAACATTCGAAATATCCCAATCGATCTCACAACTACGGCCAAAGAATGGAAGAAAAGGTTGCTGGACAGGTGAAATCAATAAAACTATGTTTACAAAATGATATTTGGAACCGTTCACATATTACCATCTGTTAAACTTTCTTTAACCTTGCTGACACCATAATGCCAGTCTATGAAAAAAACCTCCAAACATTCCAATAAAGGCAACAAAACACTTTTGATATTTATGCCATCCTTAACGTCTTGGCATAACCATTTCTGGTGTCCTCCGCCGTGATATTGCTGAAACATTGCTAAAAGCGGCGTAAAACTAAACTCACTCACAGTTGGTATGAGGCGACCGGGGATCGAACTACCAAGATTCCCTTAGCAGGTTTTGTGTAAAAGTTATACATTGTCAGAATATTTGATCATTATAACCCCTTCAGGTAAAGTGAATGATGGGGGAAGATAACGACACGGGGCATTAGCAGTCTTGAAACAAATGTTCGAGCGTTTAGACCTAATGTGAGCCTGAACATTCAGACATCGTGATGTTTCACCAAGGTAGGTTGGTTGTTTTCACGCC